CCACCCGCCAGCCCGTGCGGCACCCAGCCCTCCCGGCCAAGCCCTGGAAACCGGGCTGGGCTGGGCTGGGAAAGGAGCGTCCGGCTCCTGCGGCCCCACTGCCGATCGGGGCGTGAAGTGGGTGAGAGCTGGTGGGGCCCCGCGTGCCAAGGCAGTGCCACGGGTGGGGCCGTGTTTGCGGCTATAAATCACCGTGGGGAGCGATGCGGAAGAGCCGGGGAGCGGGCTCTGCGCCGCGCCAAGCCGGCGATTAAATATTTACCTTCGCCGGTCGTGTTTGCCAGCGATGGAGCGACGTTTCCAGGGAGGAGCTCGCTTTTGTTCAAACAAGGAGCAGCGCCCTTGCCCAGCGCCCGGCGGGAGACGTGGGGCCACCAGCCGCGCCGGTCCCTGGGGACAGTGGCTCAGCCAGCGCCACCACAGCTCGCGTGGCAGCCGCGCGGGAAAGAGGCGCTTACGAGGCTCATGTTTCGGGGAGAACAAACCGTGTTTAATCTCTGAGGTGAAGGAAGAAAATGAAAGGACCCCGGGGGCTGCCCTGGGGGGGGTCACAGTGCCCGCTGGGGCCGCAGTGCAAAGTACAAATGCAGCATTTCAAGTGCTGATCACGGAGCAGAAACGTGGTCTTTCTGCTACAGGAACGCGTGTGAGTGCACCTAGGTGAGGCTTGTATTAAAAAGTGAGCTACAAAAGGCTTTAAAAAGTGAACCTGTCCCCAAATAAATAAAACCACTGACTCGTGCCCATGCTGTGCCCCGGTGCGTGGCCACGCTGAGGTGCTGGGGGGGCGGGGGGGGGGGGCTGCCACCTGCACCCTTCGCACCCCGCTGTCCCACCGTGGGGCTGCTGTTCTGCGAGGGGCCACCTGGAGAGACACCAAAATGCTTTTGGCTGTGCTTGGCCCCGTGGGCGACCTCCTCCTGGAGCCCCGTGGGGTGTGATATCCCCAGAGCTGGGATGGGGCAGGAGCACAGTGTCCCCAAGGCCTGTCTGAAGGGGACAGGGACCTTTCCCAGCAGCTGTACACAGGGACAGTGGGTGGGAGCAGGGGACAGTCGCTGGGAGAGGGTGAGCAGCATCCTCATGCCCATCAGGACCTGCCCAGCTCCCGCATGGGGACACGTTTTGGGTCCCTCCGTGTCCCAGTGGCTGCCCTGGTCCCTGCAGTGCCGGTGCTCTCCGCTCCCAGCCCTCCACTGCTCCCAGCACTTGCCAGCAGCTGTACACAGGGACAGTGGGTGGGAGCAGGGGACAGTCGCTGGGAGAGGGTGAGCAGCATCCTCATGCCCATCAGGACCTGCCCAGCTCCCGCATGGGGACACGTTTTGGGTCCCTCCGTGTCCCAGTGGCTGCCCTGGTCCCTGCAGTGCCGGTGCTCTCCGCTCCCAGCCCTCCACTGCTCCCAGCACTTGCCGGGGCAGCG